ATGAGGCTACTGGAGCACAGGTGCTCTCTGCTCAGAGTGGGAATGCTGCACAGGCCTCGCTAGAGCCTGGAGGAAACGACCCTCAGCTCACCCTGATTCTGTGGTCACCGAGGAGCCTTGTAATTGCTGATTTCTCTTCCAAATTCTCCACTCCCAGGGTGGAAATACACTAGGTAAATGATGTGAGTGCTCTGGTCTTGAGGTGCTGGTTTATGCATTAGGCCTGTGGTCAGCAAACTGCGGCTCGAGAGCCACATGCGGCTCTTTGGCCCCTTGAGTGTGGCTCTTCCACAAAATAACACGTGCGGGCACGCATGTACAATGCAACTGAAACTTCGTGGCCCATGCGCAGAAGTCGGTTTTTGGCTCTCAAAAGAAATTTCAATTGTTGTACTGTTGATATTTGGTTCTGTTGTTTGCCGACCAAATGGTCATGGGAGAACGACTGAGTCCACTGAATAGAGCCGAGTTCCTGAAAACCTGCAGAGCTGAGTTCTAGATCCTGCACTGGGTTGACTGCACCAAGATAAAACTCCTTGGGACCCCCTGTCTTGCAGTGAACCGGCTTCCTAACAGGTGCTCTTTATTTTGCCTTCAAACCACAGTAGAAAACTCTGCTACCCATATAACTACAATTCCGTTGACAGCTTCTTAAAGATCTACCGCTTCGAATTACTCCCCAAAATCTTCCCATTGCCTAGCAATGATGCTGAAAAGAGGCCAGAACCAGAAAGGGAGAGCGAGTTGGATCACTTCACCTCTGGCCTGAACCTGTGACCAGAAGGCAGTTCCAGGCCAGAGTAAAGAAGACAGGCACAAGACTCCTTGGCCCTGCCATTCCATACCTCTGTGATCTTACGTGTGTCACTTAACCTCTTGGAGCCCCAGTTCCCTCCTCAGTATAATGGGGATAATTCTGAATACCATATACGATTGTTGTGAGACTGAAATTAAATATGCGTGTTAAGAAATCAGCACTGCTTCTAGTACATAGAAAACATCCCATAAAATACAAGCTCATGCTATTTTTTTTTTATATAATTTGCACAATACTTGTTATGTTGGGAGGTACCTGGTAGACAGTGTTGTTCTGAGCGTCGGTTTTGATCATGGCCATTACTTTCTGTTTTTCCCATAGCCAGTAGACAAGGTTGGACTCTGGAGGCGATGACTGAGCCAATAGGTATTTGGAGTCTGGAGAAAAAGCCATGCTAGTAAATCTCTGAACTGGGAAGTCAAAGTTACTAAGGACTTTACGCTTCCGGCAAGGGATGGCTGACAGTTCATAAATGGTGATGATAGGTTTTTCTTGCACCAACTCAGAGATAGCGAGGTATCGCCGATTGGGACTGATGGACAAGGCTAACATGGCTTGACTCTTGTCTGAGCCTGCAAACAGGTAAAACGGAATAATGAGGGTAGGTCGCCAAGATTCAATATGAACCAGGCATAGCGGTCGGCACTGCTGACAAATAGGAGAAAAGTGCAGAAATAGGTAATTGTCAACCTGTGAAGCTCCTTGGCACAACTATGTCTGGGGTATTATAACAGTGGCTAGGGTGGGCACCTCCCTGAAGCTAAGGTAGGAGGAGAAGTCAGGGATCAATTCCTGGAGGACAAAAATAGGACAGGGAAGGGGTGGGGCAGGTGACAGGAAGAGAAAATGTGTGCTGTGAGGAAGTGGGTTATTGCTGGAGCATCTCATGTGAGCCATGTTGGGAGGTACCTGGTAGACAGTGTTGTTCTGAGCGTCGGTTTTGATCATGGTCATTACTTTGGGTTGGTTACTATTATATAAGTCTAGGGCAGTGGAATAGGGCCATGTTACATAGGTCTTTAGGCCTGGAGTAGGCAGCACTCAGCACTCTTCCTCTGCTCTCAAGGCTGGGATGCTAACTACTGGATTCCTCAGCCTTCCGTGCAGTTAGGTGATCTATGTTACATTCTGGCCATGTGATAGATGCAGAAGTTTGCTGGGCTGGCTTTGTGGTAAAGCTTGTGCTTTCCTGAAAACCAGGGATAGATGCATCTCTCCCCCTTTCCCTGGAATCTAGGTGTGATATCTGGAATTACAGCAGTCAACTTGTAACCATGAGATAACATACACGAGAATGCAAGTTATGGTCTTCTACATAGCAGCACCTGGGGCAACACTGAAGTACACATACTTTATCTGGGAAATGCAATCAAGTTATGATTTTGATGGGCCCTAGATACTATTGCTTTCAGGAGCCCCTCCCTCCATTAAAGAACGTTAAAAAGTATATTTTGTGATTGCATTGGTATAAAGAGAAATATAGCCAGGCTAGATTCATTATGACATATTTATTATTATACTTTCTTCCTGATTTTAGAATAAGTTAAAATTAAGACATTTTCTTGGCTCCTAGGCTCTGTGTGGCTAAGCTCTCTTTTTCACTTAACAGAAACTCCATCCTTCTACTTACTCAGACCATAAATCTTGCTTCTTTTTCTCTTCCACCCTACACCTGTTTTCTGAGAAAATCTGTTACCTCCACTTTCAAAATATATCCAGGATTTGATCTCTTCTCACCATTCCTATTACCTACAACCTGCTCCTTGACACCATTTTCTCTCACCTGGATTGTAGCAACAGTTTCTCACCTAGTCTCCTACTTCCTCCCTTGTCCCTTCTTAAATCTATTCTCTACCCAATGGCCAAAATGAATCTGTTGAAACATAAGCCAGATCATGCTGCTCTCTCTGCTCAGAATCCCCCTCTTACGCTGAGTGAAATTTTCATTTCACTTAGCGTAAGAGCCTATGACCCACAAAGCCCCCTGTGATGTTGCTCCCCGTTACTCCTCTGCCTCACCTCTCGCTCCCTGTTCCTTCGTTCCCTCCGTTCCACCCACACTGACTTCCTTGCTAGTCTCCTAACACACTAAGTACCCTCCTAACTCAGAGCCTCAAAGGTGAAAGACAAAAGTATAAAGCATAAAGGAGATAGTATAGATATTCATAAGCTTGAGTTAGGGAACAATTCCTGAAGAAGACACAAAAAGGAAAATGTTGATGAACTTCATTATAACTAAGAATTTCTGTCCATCAAGATACCATAAGGAGGGAGAAAACACAAGCCCCAAACTGGGAGAGTATTTGCAATACATAGGATTGGCATAAAGAATATAGAAAGTGTGCCCAAAAATCAATAAGAAAATTACCCAAAAACTCCCATAGAAAAAAAAATGGGTAAAAGAGATGAATAAGGCATTTCATAGGAGACTAAATAGGAATAGCCCGTAAGCACATGGAAAAAAAAAAATTCATCCTCATTAGTAATAGAGAAATATAATACTAAAACCAATAAGATACCCTTTCTCAATTACTAGATTAACAAACAACAAAAAAATAATAGAAATTTGAACAATACCAAGGGTCGGTAAGGTTGTGGAGGAATGGCAAGTCGCATGTACTCCTGGTGGGAGTGTAAATTGGTACCACCATATTACCCAGTGATTTTTGTCCTGGCTGTGCCCTGAAGAATCTCTGCACAAGTGGACAAGCACATATGAATGCAATACATTTATACTAGCATGATTTATAATACCAAAAAACTGTTGTTTCCCAAAAAGTCCATTAACACTGGAATGGATAGATCTATTTGAGACATTAGATTCATAGATGTAGCAATAAAATGAACTCAAGATGCAATATTCAGGATCTCAAAAGCCTGATGTTGAAAAGAGAAGCAAGTCATTGAACACATATACTATGATTCCATTCATATAAAGTTAGTAAATAGCAAAAACAAAACTATATCTTACATGGGGCTACACGTATACGGTCACACTATATGCAACAAAAAGTGGAAAAGGAAGTGATTAAGTTGTGGAAATTATGTATATCATCAGCAGAACCACTATGAACAAAAACAATGTAACATTATACAAATAGTTATATTTGTGACTTGGGATAAAATCTCCAGTGTTCTCATCACACATGAATTCAAAAGGTGCTGGAATGAGGGTGGTATGCTCTAGAAAACTGTGTTAACTCAAAAATTGGCCTCGGTGATGACAAAGACAATGATATTGAACAGGCATGAAAAGAGACTCATTAAAATAATGTATTCATTAACTCACAGTGAAAAAGTGCTTTTAAATTAATATTTTACATGTGTTTTTTGCACGTAATGCAAGTAGACATGTCTACATTTAGAGAACTATACGTTTAAGTGAGTTGGCCCGAAAACTTTCCTTTCAATCTTCGTGTTGGAATCATGAGGTTATTTTTGCCACGTGAGGTTAATGTGTCAGGATGGGGAAGGGTTTTACCTGGAATGAATTTTTGCCATTTCTGATCCATATTGTACTTCACACAGTAATTCCCTGAAGGAAATATAATGATCTGCTCATCGAAGAAGAAGATATTGTTGGCCACGTGGGATCGAAGACCAAAAGCGTGCAGCGACTGAGCTACCACGGCCGACATGGTCCCTGGTCAGAGTTCTGTGAAGACCCAGCGCAGCAGGTGAGCTTGGGGAAGCACATCGCCCCGCCCACCCCGCCCAGGACACACCCCTGACCCCGCCCCCGAAGTCCCGCTGGGTCGCATTTCCCCCCCCTCTCACCCCCATCTCCAGCACCCCTCACCCTCATCCCCACCGCGGCTTACTTTCTCCCCTTTCCTCTGCGCCCTAGCGGCTTCCAGCTCCTCCGGACGACCCCCGGGCACCGCTTCCCACCTCACGCTTCTCCTCCAAGTCACCAGACCACTCGTGTATCCAGCGGCAGTTTGCCTACGGGTCCCAAGCAACGAGGACACTTTCCGACGCCGGAGCGGTTCCTATAGCAACGGAAAACCGGAAGTGCGGGTCCGCGGCCGGAAGCGGAAGTCTGATCTGGAAGCTCGGCTACGGCCGTGTGTTTGCAGTGAGCGCTGGAGCGGCTCCGGTCCACGTGGAGCCGCGGGGTGAGGGCAGGGGGGCCCGGGCCCACCCCGGACGTCTGGTAGGTGTGGGACGTGCGTGCTGCGAGATGGACACGCCCCTGCCCTCCGGCTCGGACTCGGATTCGGAAGAATCTCTGGTCACAGACCGAGAGGTTAGTGTCCGCCGAGCTCGCGCGGCTGGGCAGGGGGAGGGGAGTGGGGGCGGCGGGACGTCCTTACTCCCCTGTGACTGACGCCGATCGTGCCCTGCAGTTGCAGGATGCGTTTTCCCAAGGGCTTCTGAAGCCAGGCCTCAATGTCGTGCTCGAGGGTCCGAAGAAAGCCGTGAACAACGTGGTGAGCTCGGGCGCTGGGTCGGGGGTCCTGAGAGGTGAGATGAGCACCAGGAGCTGTTATGCTTGGGTGGCTGAGTTCTTGTTCTAGGAAGGATGCAGCCTGTGCGTTGTCAAAAGGGTCGATTACCGCCAAGACCGGTTTGGCTCAATGGATAGAGCGTCGGCTTGGGGACTGAAAGGTCCCGGGTTCGATTCCGGTCAAGGGCATGTACCTTGGTTGCGGGCCTATCCCCAGTAGGGGGTGTGCAAGAGGCAGCTGATCGATGACTCTCTCTCATCGATGTTTCTAACTCTATCTCTCTCCCTTCCTCTCTGTACAAAATCAATAAAAAATATATTAAAAAAAAAAAAAAGGTCGATTACCTGTTGGGGTATGGGAGTTAGCAGTTTGTCCCTGGGCCTAGCTAGCCCCCTGGGCTTGGGGGAGACATGGTAAGGGTTCCCTTCTTAGGAGCTCCGTGTCTGAATTTTTTTTTAGAATGGCCTGAAGCAGTGTTTGGCAGAATTCAAGCGGGATCTGGAATGGGTTGAAAGGCTGGATGTCACCCTCGGTCCGGTGCCAGAAGTCAGTGGACCTCAGACAACACCTCAGAACAAGGACCGGAAAGCTGTTGATCCCGAAGATGACTTCCAGCGGGAGATGAGCTTGTATGTTGGTTTTCAAATGTGGGGAGAAGTTGTGGTCCCTGTGCTACAGGGGGTGAGGAGTATAGTGAGCCTGTCCTCCACAGAGGTTATCCTAAGGGTAGGAGCAGGGAGGAAGTCTTTTGACTAAAAAGAGCTAAAGTTGTGGGTTTTGTTTTGTTTTTTGCATGTGTGAGTATTCAGTTATTAGAACAAAAGTTTTCTTATGGAAGGTCCTTATGTAGACTTCTGCAGTGACTACATAAGAATTCCTAATTAGTTTGTAAATTGATAGGTACTTTTAGAGTGGCTGTTCTCTGAAATTACTATTTTATTTTCAGCAGTACTCCTCGCTCTCCTTTTTATCTCTAAACCACCCCCCCCCCCCATTATAAAAGAGTGTACAGTTAAGTTTCTTCCAGGTGCCAAGTTAATGAGGTTTTATTACAGGTTTTGTTTGTGTGTGTCTTCTTGCTGGTGGAAGGCAGATGTTGAGTTACCTGCTGACCTTGGATAACTCCTGGAACGGAGTGAGAAGGAATGTAAGCCTCTCACACTTTGTCCTCTATCCTCAGCTACCGGCAGGCCCAGGCTGCAGTGCTTGCAGTGTTACCTCGGCTCCATCAGCTCAAAGTCCCTACTAAGCGGCCCACTGACTATTTCGCAGAGATGGCTAAGTCTGATCAGCAGATGCAGAAGGTAAGAAACAGAGATGTTTTGTTTTTTTTCCTGGAAAGCTGAGGCTTTGTCCTTTTAAATATATTTACCTGGCTAATCTCCTATAATGTTTTTAAAAAAAAACTAAACCTAATAATAGGGAACTGATTGTCAAGAGGACAATTATTCTCTCTATTGTCTACTTCAGACTCATGCCAGTCACCAATTAGATAAATATAAGGATGACTTTTTCCTAATTTAAACAGCTAAGGGGAGGAAAAGTACAGGAAGATATGAGGTCTACTTTCTAGCTGGCATGGTCATGGCATGGTGCGTAGAAAAATTACAGACCTTGTCCTGCTTTTGCTTGGAAAGAGTGCTGTAACTTGTAGACAGTTCCTTTTCTCTGGGCTTCAGTTTTCGCTTCTGTAAAGTGAGAGATTCGTATATTCTCAGATGCAGTATAATTTAGAGCTAGGTAGAACTGGTCCTTGTTTGACTCTGGGAGGAATTGCCAAAATTTAGTCCAAGGTGTACTGAATAGTTCCCTTGGTACTCAAGCCGGATTTTAGGGAGCTCTTGTCTTGGAGATACTTAGGGAAACCAGTCTAGAGATGAACATAGACACAGAGTCTCTGTACTATTCACACTGACAGCAGCTTATCCTTTCATTGGAATGTGTATGTTTGATAGAAAAGGCTATGTGCCTGATATCTGTTGGTGTTTTTAACATGCATATGGTATATTGGAGAAGGGAACTAGGGCTGCATGCTGTTCTAACAGTCAGTAGACAGTAGGGATGAGCAGAAGTTAATTTCTCTCGGCAAAACTGTGGCAGGCAGTTTTGTATAAGGGAGCAAATGGCACACCAGGAGTAGGAAGCTTGCTTTCAAGTTCTTGCTTTGCCACTGATACATTCGGTATGCTGGGAAAAATGCTTAGTTTGTGGGCTGCATTGTCCTCATGTATAAAACCCAGGTCTTGGAATAGATTCTTTATAAGGTTTCCTTAAGCTCTATAGTTTCCAGAACGGGGAATATCTGTTTCCTGCTCCAGGGCACCCAAAAGAGCAGTCATCCCAGATTCAGTAACATAAGCTGACAACATTTTGTGTTTTAGATTCGACAAAAGCTGCAGGCTAAACAGGCCGCCATGGAGAAGTCAGAAAAGGCTAAGCAACTTCGAGCACTTAGGAAATACGGAAAGAAGGTAAGAAGGAAGGTGGCAGGGGGTAGAATGATGCTGAGTGTGTGTGTCAGGTCAGATTGCCGCAGTCTGGTTTGGTTCCATGACCTGTATGTGTTCCATCTTGTGTTTGATATCTCTTTCTTTTTTAATATGTATTTATTGATTTGAGAGAGGAAGAGAGAGGGAGAGACAGAAACATCAATGATGAAAGAGAATCATTAATCAGCTGCTTATGAATGCCGCCTACTGGGAGGTCAAGCCTGCAACCTAGGCATGTATCCTTGACTAGAAATGAACCCTGGATCCTTCAGTCCATAGGCCGATGCTCTATCCACTGAGCCAAACTGGCTAGGGCTTGTGTTATCTCATAGTGGGGTGTGTGTGCTAGTATTCATGAGCACAGTCTTTCCTTGATGGGGTAGTGTGATAACTATAGCACATCATTTATCTATCCAGTTTGCATTTCTATACAGTGAAGAGTGGGGGGGTCCAGACTAGGTTTCCAAACCCAGTCGCCTGGGAAAATATTTCAAAACATATTGCTAGATTTTAGTATCTGGGAATCTGTGTATGTTTTCTTCCTTTTCCCCAAAAGACTCTGATGATCACTGGCCTACATGATTCCTTGAAGAAATCATATGGATTGTCTGTCATTCAGTCAGAAAAAGCAAATGGCACCTGCGAGTTTGAACTATAACTGCCTTGAGTTCTAATGTAAAACCAGAGCAGGCATACCATGACACTTCTTTTAGTTTTTCTTGTTTGTTTCATGGTCACTTAAAGAGATGATAAGATTTAAAGTTAGGGGCGTGGGAAGAGATGAGTGAGGAGATTCAGCATGGGTGCTAAGACTTTGTCCATAAACATGATGTGGGGTGTTGAGCTGCTTTCCTTGGGAATCATTTCACTGGTAGGTCCTCAGTGGAGTGACAGTAAAGGGTAGATTAGCATCCTGTCCTTTGCAAATGGGCAGCTGTGGATTTATTACATGGAGCTGGTGGTCAGTGGCTGAGATCAGCTCAAAAACATGGGCAGTTGGTTTTAACACAAATTATCAAAAGCAAGGAAAAGCTCAGGCTAATTAGCTCACTCTAATTGGAGGAAACTCAGGGTACTAGTTCTGAACTGGGGACGATTTTGCTTCCCAGGGGTTTTGGGGCAATGTTGGAGACATTTTTGGTTGCATCTTGGTGGGGAATGTACAGCTGCAGCTGGTGGGTAGAGGACAGGGGCTGCTAAACATCCCACAGTGCCCCGGACAGCCTGTCTGTCCCGCTCAGAGAGCTTTCATGTCTGAACTCTCAGTAGTGTTGAGATTGAGAAATCTGCCTTACAGTAAAAGCATCTCCTTTTGTCCTTAAAGCTTTTCTTTACTGACTTTTGGGGAGATTTTTTTTTTTTTCCTATTGGTACTTTCGTGCCTTTAGGTATTTAATTGACCCAGATACAACTAATGGGGAGAATTGGATGTGGATCTAAAAATGATTGGTTACAATTTTGTAGGCAGGGTTGTGTGTTGGGGGAAGAGTGCAGACTGCCTGCGGGTGAGCCTCAGCTCCCTGCTTTCCTGCAGTGTGGCTGGGACAAGTTTATCTCTCCTTGCTTTAGTTTCAGGGATGTTTCAGAATTTCTGACTCATTGGGTTGTTGGTTGAGAACTAAACTTGAGTGTTTGCATAGTTTTGTCGCACAGTAAATATTCAACAGTGGTGGTGTTATCACAGTGTTGATACTGGGAGAATATAGGCACTTGCTTTGATGGTTTGGAGGGGGTGTAACAGGCCTGCATCCATGTCCCAGGTGCAAACAGAGGTTCTTCAGAAGAGGCAGCGGGAGAAAGCACACATGATGAACGCCATTAAGAAATACCAGAAAGGTTAGTATTTCTCTCTCCTAAGGATACAGGGGGCAGGGTCCCTGCTATTTCTGACACCCACTGCTCTGGAGGATTGTTTAATTTGTAGCTATTGTTCATAGGGTTTGGGAAGGGCATGGGGAACAAGATGTACCTCTTAAAATCCAGTAAGCAACAATCTTCTTTTGAAGTTTAAGGTTTTCTTAAAATGTGATGGCACTAATCAAATACACTTCACTCCTAGGCTTTTCTGACAAACTGGATTTCCTTGACGGAGATCAGAAACCTGTTGCACAGAGCTCAAAGGGAGGAGCTAAAGGCCAGCAGATGAAGAAGGGGTATGAAGTGTTGGTTTTATTTTGTGGTGTGTGCTGGGCAGCAGTTCACGAGTATGGCAGGGGCTGCCATAGGAGCATCTGCAGGGCTCAGAGCATGGCACTGCTGCCTGCGACCCAGACTTAACAGGCTACGTGATGGTCCTTTCAGCCATATCAATCTTTGAACGTTAAAGTAAGGTGATTTAAGGATTTGTACATTTGAGTGAATCTATATATAAAGAGTCAGGGTCTGTAATGACCAAGGCTCAACCAAACACCTGAAGTCAGTGCTGGGTTGCCATGGTGACCCAGCACTGACTGCCAAGGGGGCTGTGGATCAGGCCCAGAGAGAGGCCTGCAGAGAGAGGCAGGGTCTGATCCCCAGCCTCCTGCAGCTGTTGAAGTGGCTCCTCTTCAGGCCTCCTGAAGGGCTATTGATCAGCCCTGCCTCTTTGATCAGGTCCAGAGATAGGCTTGGAAATGCTGACTGGCATAGAAACCAACCAATCAGAACTAAATCTGGGTGAAGTGCAAGTTGCCAATGGCTGCCTAGGAGGCGGAGCTTTTAACGCTGATTGACATAAAAACTGACCAATCAGAACTTAATTTGGGTGAACTGTGAAGGCAGAACCTAAGTTGGGGACTGAGGAGGGGTTTTAAGGGCAACAGCTTTTTGGTGTAAAGTGTGAGAAAACATTTCAATTTTTTCATGACTGGTTTGGAAGTATAGTGCATATGGCTGGCTATCAGTCCAAATATAGGGATTATGTGTTTTTGTCTGCCGAGAGCATCTCCTTCTGCTGAAAAAAGCTTCCCTGCCCCTGTCTCCCCCCATTTAAGCAATCCTATCCTATATAGTCTATACTACTAAAAGGGTAATATGCTAGTTAGACCAAGTTGATCGGCCATCTTCTGGACAAAGCCATGATGGGGGCTGAGGTAGAGGCATTAGGGGCAACCAGGCCAACAGGGGAGGGCAGTTAGGGGCGACATCAGGCCAGCAGGGGAGGGCTGTTGGGAGTGAGATCAGGCTGGCAGGGGAAGGCCGTTGGGGTTGAGATCGAGCGGGCAGGGGAGGGCATTTAGAGGTGATCAGGCAGGCCGAGGCAGTTGGAGGTGAGATCAGGCTGGCAGGGGAGGACAGTTGGAGGTGAGATCAGGCTGGCAGGGGAAGACAGGAGCAATCAGGCAGGCAGAGGCAGTTAGGGGTGGTGATCAGGCAGACAGGCAGTTGAGCGGTTAGAAGCCAGCAATCCCAGATTGCAAGGGGGATGTCCAACCACTGGTTTAGGCCCCATCCTGTGGGATCAGGCTTAAACGGGCGGTCAGACATCCCCCAAGGGGTCCCCAATGGAAGAGGGTGCAGGCTGGGCTAAGGGAACTGTCCTCCCCGCCCCCCATGCACGAATTTCGTGCACCGGGCCCCTAGTGTTTAATAAAACAGTGTGATGGTTAAGATTACGGTTGAGGGTTCTGATCCAAACTCTGCCTGTCATTGGGAGGGTCGCTGTCAGCAAGTTATTTTATCTTTTTAAATGTTAATTTCCTCTTCTATAAAAATGAGAAAAACATATGTGCCTCATGCTCTTATAAAAGTTAAAAGAAATAATATTGGTTATTGACATTATTACTTTTAGTTCACTTTTATGCATTCCTGGAAATCAGGTCCAGGGTGATGATCCTGGAGGAGGATCCCACCTGAGCTTAGTTTGAAAGATGAGTAAGAATTAATCAGAATAGGAGAGACTCAGATTTGGGGAATATGGAAGAACACGGATGAGCAAAATCTTAGAGATGAGAACAGCTTTGCCTGTGAGGAGCAGCACGCATTTGGTATCACTGGGAATACAGTGTGAGACAAGGAGTAGCAAGACATAGCTGGAGGGGGCCCGGCCGAGGCACAGAGGCAGAGATTGTTTGTCTTGTTGAAAAGCCTGGGTTTTAGTCAATAAGCAGCTGGGAGACTGATGGGCTTTTCTCAAAATAATGTGCAGGTCCTAGTCACATTTTATTTTATTTTTAAAATTTATCTTTATTATTGAAAGCATTACAGATATCCCCCATAGTCATGTTTTTTTAAAAAAAAAAAATTGTGGTTTTTGTATAAATGATATTATAGTATTAAGAGAGGCTGACCAGTTTTCAGATTTATTACATTTGAATGTTAACTGCATTTATATATCCCCCAAGAGGAGTAGAAACAAATGAGGATAATTTACCAAGATTTAGTTAAAATAAGGAACTTTTCAAAGTTTTCCTGGTCCTTGCTTTGTTTTCCTGCTCTGGTAGTTAAACTTGTAAATAGGTGAGCTTGCCTGGGGAGTTTGTTGAGTGGGAATGTAAGGCCAATGATGAGATTCTAGGGGACAGTAATGGGTGATTCATCAGGATTTGCAGGGCTGAGAGTAACCTGTAAAGCCACTTTTTCCCCAGTCCCAATGCCAAACGACGCTATAAAAACCAGAAGTTTGGGTTTGGTGGTAAGAAGAAAGGCACCAAGTGGAACACTCGTGAGAGCTACGATGATGTATCCAGCTTCCGGGCCAAGACAGCTCATGGCAAGGGCCTCAAGAGGCCAGGAAAGAAAGGATCAAATGTAAGTGAGCGTGGGGACCAGGTTGGGGGCTGGACTCACATCCACCTGCTCCATCCTTTTTCTGTGCATCCTGACCATGGGCAGGACAGGCTGCCATGTGACCACATGTGGTATTTCTTTTTCTTTAGAAGAGACCTGGAAAACGAACAAGAGAGAAAATGAAGAGCAGAGCCCGCTAAGCAGCATCTTTAAGAAAAAGGATGAAGACTTGGGATTTCACAATACAATTGGGTCCCTTTTTTGTAAAAAAATTTTCAATAAACAAAAAAAATATCAAAGAAGCATATACCCTTGGGTAAAATACAGTTAAGATGAAAAGATTTAGAAGTTACTTTTACATATTAAATAACACCTCTATTTATTGATAATTTAGACGTTGAGTCCAAGTTGTCTTCTTTTTATGATAGATGAAGATTTAATACCTACCCATCCTCCCAAATAGTTGCATCATGATTTGAGATAAATCAGCTATCAGTGTTTATATCATTAATATCCTTTAGTAATCACTGGAGAGCTGGATGAGCTATGATATTATTTCCTTTGTGGTACAGTTTTTGTTTCTTTCTTGGGTTGTCACCTTATTTATTTGTGAACCAAATTTTCCTTCTATATTGTTTTCTTTCTAGACGTTTCATTTTATCCATATAATTTTCCCGTTGTAACCCAGGTCTGTCATACAGCTATCACCTTATTCCTTTTCTAGACTTTCTAGATTGAATCTACTGGATCCCATATAATGCTGGTGTGTATTTCTTGGCATCTGCAAGGGGTTCAGGAATCTGGAGAAGGTTCTGTGTGTAAATTAAGAGTCCAAAGAGGAAACATGGGGGAGATAAGAGATCAACCGAAGGATTTGTATACATGCATATAAGTACAACCAATGGGCACAAAACTCTGGGGAGGGAGGGTATGTATGGGGGGGGGCGATAAAATTAAATTAAATTTAAAAATAAATAAAAATTAAAAAACAAAAAGAGGAAACATAACTTAGGAAGGCATTTGGGGGGGCTAGAGGAGCTTGGCTAAGGAAACCAAGCTTTCCTGTCTCTGGACCCCTTGCTTTTATTAACACAAATTGTCCTAAAGCAAGGTAGGTATACATATCAAATGGTAAGGTTTGGTATATCAGAATCCATTGGCAGGTTGGAGGAATTGCCTAAGGCTGTTCAGGTGTTTGACCAGTAGGAGGCAATAACATGTAGATTGAAATGACCTCAGCTGTCTGGCAGCAAGCAATCATTTATGCATCCATTTCAGGTTTGGGGAAATGCCCTCAGCCATTTCCAGATGATTCAGCCCTGCTGACTTGCTGGAATTGGCTTCCGGCACCGTACTCTCCTGTGTCTTAGCCATGCCTCCTTTTGCTCTATACCATTTTCTAGTATCTTTCTAAGAAAGGGAACGTGGGAGGTGAATTTCCTACCTCTCTGCATTTCTCAAGTTACTTTTAATTTGGTGGGTATGCCTTTCCCTGAGAATGTTTCTTTGTCCCGTGGCTCTAGTGTTGCCAGTGAGAAGGCCATGTCCCTTCCAGTTCTCATTCTTTGAAGCTTTTTTTCAGCCTGTCATCTGAATTGCCATTGGCCATGCCTTGGTGGCCCCTTTGAACAGGGTGTTTGCAAGAATGTGCGCTCTTCCATTCTGGTAAATTTCATAAGGGATAGCTTCCCCCTATTTTCTTTGTTCTGCAATTTCTGTTAGATGTTGAAATTTGATTAAGTGTGTTTATATTTAAATTCTCCTTTGGGGGAAGATTTCTTTGATTCTTTTTTTCTGATCATTTTATTGAATACTTACTTTAGCATTCACTTTTCAGTTTATATCCAAGAGTTCTTTGTTTCTAATTGATTCTCACATCATTTTACTATCGTTCTATAGCTGTGGGCTACAGTCATCTCTCTCAGAAGATGAATTATAGTTTTGGTTTTGAAAAGAGGTTTCTTTTGTTCCCTTCATTCTATTACCTTGGAATTCCCTGAACCCCTCTGTGCATTTGTGTTTCCCTTTTTATGTTGAGTTTCTAGAACAAAAACAGTGAATTCAGTTAGCTTTTGTAAACGAATTTCACATAAAATTCTGAGTGAAGATGAAATTATTTCCCTCGATTTGTTTATGACTGTACAATATTAGCAAGTGGGGTAAAGCACAGGATTTCAAACAAGGAGTCTTGAATTTGTTAGAAACTTTGAATTATGTTTGGAAGATGTTGAGAGTTTTAAGAAAGAAGAACATAGGTTAATAGCATTTCACAAAAGTAAGTTATTACTGCTATGTACATTTCGGCCCTCAGTGTAGTCAGGGTGCAGGCACTGTCATTCCTCATGTTCTTTAGAATACTGCTTCATGCAATGCAAGGTAGCAACCTAGCAGTCTCCAGTACCCAGGATAGGCTGTTCTTGGTTCAGTTCCAATATCCATGGGTTCTTGTTACCAAGTACGATTAAATAATAGTTTTTCAACAACACTTCAAATTGCAATTGTCAAAGTATTGTTAACTGTGAGAACCTGCAGAAAGTAGTAACTTCTATTAGCCTTTCAGTCCCAAGTCACTTTGTGAGTTACAGATGAAATGATAACAATTACAAAGTCTAGGTGATTGGTCACCGCATAGACAAGCAATGTGTGGAATTGTGTTGCCTCTGTTTTGCCCAGCAATGAACCTACATGGCATTTTACAAAAGTATATAATTGAGAGAATTGATGAACGAAGATGAAAGTGCAGTAAAGGAATGGAAAATGATAAGGCTAGAAGCAAGATTTGAAAAGCATGCAAATGGTGTTGAAGTCAGCTGAGGTGGGTGGGGGGACTCTGCTGTCATACCAGAGTGACTGTGCAGCAAGCACTGGGAGACATAGGAAGGTGTCCCAGAAATAGCGGCACTGGCAAAAATATGGAAGGGACTCTAGGAGATAATTTGTCACATTGAAAGTAGAAATGAAATGTTGGAAACCAAATTTAGAAACAAGCAAAGCAATTTGCTGGGGTGTAGAAATGATGCCTGCTCCATGTCATGTATAACAACAACAAAAAGGCAAGCACTTTTTTTTACAAGAAACATTTGATTCTCAATGTTTTGTTTTCGTTTTCTTATGCATTTAACAAGATGTTTAATAGTTTGACAAAAATTGAAAAACCATGAATATATTTTGAAGAAAGCATAACAAGTGGACTAATTGATGTAAATAGTAAGAGTGGGTTCTAGAGTCTTTTCATCATAATGTCCTCAGCTCTGAAAGTAAAAGTGCTCATGGTGCTCCTGCTTGTGTTTCTTTAAATAGCGCAGCCACATTTCATCTGCTTTCACCTTCCCAATATCACCAGAGGGGGGGGGGGGGGGGGGCATGTTACTTTGTACACAGGCTTCTCTAAAAAGACATAATCACTTTGCACAGTAGGGCAGGACCACACAGTGACCACCTCCTGGAACCATGCAAAGTGACTAATGAATTTTGACAACATTTTTTTTAAATGTTGGGGGTTGTATAAGGAGCTTCCATGCATTTCGGCCCACCATCCTCCCAGCACCAGGAAGTGTTCGCAAATACAGAAGCCCTGTAGTTAGTATAAGGTTCTCCCTCCTCCCAACTGGTGGGCGTAGTTATGACATTACTGGCACCTGTCACAGAGACATCTCCAAGACATTGAGCCATCAATCAGCGCCTGCCAAAGTGTCCTGGAGCCCTTCCTGTTCTGCCCTGGGTTCAACCCTCTCCTGTTCCTCCCCTTAAAAAGACCCCAGAACAGCCCCTCCCAACTCCTTCAATTCTGATTTCTCTACCTCTATAATGAGTCCCGCTCATTACTGGGGAATAAACTTTAAAGTGATCAGTTTCCTGCACCTCAAACCTTATAGTTAGCAGGGTTTATCATGTAGGCATGACTGATTAAACCATGACCATTAGTGAGAAAGTCAATCTGCAACCCTTATTCACTCCCCAGAAGGTGGTGGTGGGACTGAAAGTTAGGGACTTAGAAGCAAGGCCTTGTTCCGGTGAGCAGCCCCCATTTCGGATCCTCCTGGAGAGGCTGCCAAGAGTCAACTCATTACAACAAAAACATTCCTGTCACTGTTGTTACATATGAAACTGCTCGGGATTTAGGAGCTCTGTGTTAGGAACCAGAGAAAGGAAACTTCTATGATACCATGTCACCCACTAATCTTTGACCATGGATCCCTTAGAGCAGAGATTTTCAACTAGTGTCCTACAAGAATTTTTAAAAATAAGTACCTGAGCTGAAACCGGTTTGGCTCAGTGGATAGAGCGTTGGCCTGCGGACTGAAAGGTCCCAGATTCGATTCTGGTCAAGGGCATGTACCTTGGTTGTGGGCACATCCCCAGTAGGGAGTGTGCAGGAGGCAGCTGATCGATGTTTCTAACTCTCTATCCCTCTCTCTTCCTCTCAGTAAAAAATCAATAAAATAGATTTTTTAAAAATTAAATTAAAAAATGCAGTGCCTGACTTTCTCTTAGGTTGTCAAATTAAAAAATGACAACAGTCAACACATCAATAGTTGTCTGGTGTGAATGAATCAAAATTAAACCTATTTTTTGTTAAATTGGCAACAATTATCTTTTTTGGTATGCTGCAGAATTTCAGTAATTTATGTATGCCATGAGGTGAAAAGGGTTGAAAATTGCTGCCCTGTAGCAAAAGGATATTGGCCCATTTCTAGATCGCCATATGGGCATTAATAATTAATTAGCCTAGTCAAGTGGTTGGCAAACGTAGCTCGCAAGCCATATGTTGCTTTTTGGCCCCTTGAGTGTGGCTCTTTCACAAGATACCATGGCCTGGGTGAGTCTATTTTAAAGAAGTGGCATTAGAAGAAGTTTAAGTTTAAAAAATTTGGCTCTCGCCAGGACCGGTTTGGCTCAGTGGATAGAGCATCGGCCTGCGGACTGAAAGGTCCCTGGTTCGATTCCAATCAAGGGCATGTACCTGGGTTGCGGGCACATCCCCAGTAGGGGGTGTGCAAGAGGCAGCTGGTCGATATTTCTCTCTCATTGACATTTCTAACTCTCTGTCCCTCTCAATTCCTCTCTGTAAAAATCAATAAAATATATAACAAAAAAAAATTGGCTCTCAAAAGAAATTTCAATCATCGTATTGTTGGTATTTGGCTCTGTTGACTAATGAGTTTGCCAACCACTGGTCTGGTCCATGACATTGTATGAAGGTGTCTCCTGGAGGAGGCCGCCCAGAGCAGAAGTGATTGCAGCCATATATGGCTTCACCCTTTCAGCAGCCAAGTGGGAGAGAGACGGGCGCCTCACTGAAACTGCAGCATAATGACGGGCTATGCTGGGAAGGGGGCATGGAGCCTCCATGTCCTCCCTGGATGCACCACTCCCAAACCTCACGTGCTGCCAGGCTGGCCGTTCCCTGGCTCTTTTAGAAAGGACCTTTAAATGAGTCTGTGTGGGGTCTTTTCTTTAGAGCTGGTTTATTTTTCCAGAGGATTCCATTAACTTCAAACCCTGGGCAAGAATGCAGTATAGGAATGGGGATTCAATCCTCTTTCAGATTTTCATACCTCCTTCCTATTCTGTGCTTTCCTTAGTTCCCTGAACCCTGGGCTTCTCACATTTCCCTAAGAATGACCCTCCAGCACAGGAGATGTTAACTGCCTGGATGCTGGAGTGGACTTACCGGAAAACACAGATATTTAATTAGGACACATTAACACTAACAAAATTACAGATGTGAAGTATCAGTGAAAATAATTTTATGGTTGGGGCCACCACAACATGAGGAACTGTATTAAAGGATTGCAGCATTAGAAAGGTTGAGAACCATGGATCTAGAAGCTGCCAAGAGTCACCTCACCAACATCCATGGTCATTTCCCTGCTTCATACCCGCCTTGTCTAAGGGTCAAAGGACGGGGATGTGGGCTCTGTGCTGACAGGTGTCCCATTGAGCTTGCATCTGGTGGCTCACACCCTCTCACCACCTTTCTAGCCCCATCAGTGTTCTTGGTTACCAATGTTCTCTCCTCTCTGTTGTGGATTCATACTTTTGGTATCTCTATTTCCTTTGCTAGGGTCTGGGAAGGCAGAGGAGATGTTTTTGCAGTTAGTTTTCCATCTTTAATGGAACTTCTCTGACTAGTTTATAAGGTTAAAGACTTGAACCAGTGGACATGGGCAGAAAGGAAAAGGTAAGACTGGAGAATGCTGACTTTAAAGGGAAGGACCTTTATTGATCTGGGCAGCACACACTTTGGACATGAAAGGTGGGCAGACACCACTGCTGGCAAACTACTTGTGGCGATCGTCTTCTCCCAAGCTCCACAGTTTAGCCTTGTACAGAGTGATGTCATTGTAGACCTTGAAGTGATTCAGCCTGGCGTCATCACGTTCTGGGTTGACCTAGACAGGAGAATGTGTCAGAGAGTGGCCTGTGGGAAGGGGGAAGACTTGAGGGAGGTTTGAAGTTGATGGGCCTGGACTTGAATCAAGGCCCACTCTGCTTATGCACACCCCCTGGTTCTCTTCCTTGCAAAACCCAGTTTGCGAAATGAAGACAACACTGACGTCAAACGAGCTGCAGGACTGAGGAGAATATCCTGGGCAAAGTTGCTGCCCTCCTCTTTGCACTGCCCAAGCTGGAGGCCTATGGACTCTTTCCCCCACTGGACCGTGAGCTTCAGGGGCAGGTGCTGTTTGTTTTATTCGTCACTGCTTATTCCTGCACCTGGAACAGTATGCAGCACACACTAGTGAGTGTTCAAAGGAAGTAGGGGAGGATGCGTGCAGGCGGGGAGGGTTTACTTACAGTGAATAAAAGAAGAGGATTGTGAAGGAAAGAAGGCGAATTAAAAACCATCCAAGTTACCGTGTTTCCCCAAAAATAAGACATCCTCTGAAAATAAGACCTACTCACAGGTTTCCTTCTGAGTGAAATATAAGGCATCCCCCCGAAAATAAGGCCCCCCTAGGCTAAACATGAGAGATTTGGTCCACTGATTCTGAAAGAAATGGAGTCACAAGAAATTCGCCAGGAAATTCAGGAATTGGATTGTTATGATGATGTTCCAGAAGGTGATGACATGGTTGTCATTGAATAAATGAGTAAATTCTTGATGCTGTAGGATTCACAGTTTGTCTGGTTTGTGTTGACAACTACCGTACTACCGTATCGCATACAGGTAATAAATTTCCTTTATTTTCATTTAACAATAAATGTGTACTGTATTCTTCTTCATGGAAAAATAAGACATCCCCTGAAAATAAGACCTAGCGCATCTTTGGGAGCAAAAATTAATATAAGACGCTGTCTTGTTTTCGGGGAAACAGGGTAGATAATTTTGTAACTTCTAAAAGTATGACAAAGCACAATAATCTGTATATATTTGTGAATGAATGAATGTGTTGTAATTACCTCCAGAACTGAGTAAGTAAGAGTGGCATGTAAATGGTATAGAAGCTTCACTGTGCAATTAACCTAAAGGACACTCATTCAGCACAAGTTACTAGGAGACCACAGGCTGACGGTATTCCCTGAGTGTGCTTCTCCAGTGTCCTATTATTGGGGGTGGAAGTTCTCTTCCTGTGTAGGCTGGGGTCCTGCCCTAAGCGAATTTGGGGCCAATCAAGCCTCTTCTGCCCTCCAGTGCATCACTCAGAAACTCCCGTGCAATTAACTTTATGCTTGCACGAAGGATGCAATGGTATTGGGGTATACTTTACTCTGCCTCTAGCGCCATCTTGTGGCAGTGTCTCCGGTTTATGAAGATGAACATGTTAGCTTATTTGCAGACCCTTCACAACTCCATGGTGGAGACCTGATGTGGGGGCCACGCAATCAGTCATCCTCAAGGCTATGGGGGTTTAGCAGGGCAGGCTGGCCACTGCAGTCACACCAGTGACTGTCATTGCATGGGAGCCTGCTGTGAGATGTGCTTGTCCAAGATACATTTCCACATGCACACTCTGTACCCCAGGGAGCCGGGCCTTTATCTCTAAAAAAACAACAAAGAACAATGAGCTAGATTACTGTGTTTCGTCATAATTTTAGACGTTGCAAAATTATCTAACTTGGATGGTTTTTAATTCGCCTTCTTTCCTTCACAATCCTCCTTTTATTCACTGTACGTGAACCCCTCCCCGCCTGCATGCACACATCCTCCCCTGCTTCCTTTTGAACATTTGTCTCTTCCCCGGCCTCTCCCTCTAGACTCAGCCCCTCCGTGAGTGTGGTGGGGCTCCCGCTGGAACCCTCACCCTGCCTCCCCAAGTCTCCTCTCTGTGCGGCGATGCCCCGGGTCTGAAGAGCGGCTGCTGCAAGTGCACTGGCAGAATGGACTAACGGGGACACTCAGCCCATGCCCATGCCGTTGTCCTGCGGCAGAGCCCCTTGCCCCGGGCTGGAGTGTAGAAACGGTGGAGAAGGCCAGGCCCCCAGAGAGAAAGAAGGACCGGGTCCGGGGAGTGGTGGGAAGGCTGTACACTACGTAACTACTCAGTGGACAAAGACAACCAGGAATAAGTCAAGGGGTCAGGGGATGCCCCTGATGGCTCTTTGTGGGGCTATATGCCTTCTTTTCTATTCTTCATTGACAGCATAGTAGCCCATCGTTATGAGCACTTACCACGTACTATGCTAGCAAGTTACATACATTTCTGATTAATCCTCACAACAAACCTTCAAGTATTGATGTTTTTATCCCCATTTGATAGTAAATAAATGGATTCTTGGAGTTTTAATTCATACAGCTGGAAAGTGGTGGAGCTGGGATTTGAACTCAGGCTGTCTGGCTTCAGAGCCAGTATGTTCCACTGAATTGAGTTGAGCTGTAATAGCAGGAGGCACAGGGTGCTGCAGAAGCACCGGGGCAGTGCCAAACTCTGCCAGTGGGGGGCAGAAATCCCTTAGTGAGACTTCATGGAAGAGGTGACTCCTGAGCTGTGTGGAGGATGAGCAGGACTTCCCCAAGTAGTGGCTGGGGGTCCAGAGCTGGGCTGCAGGAGCAGCACATGTGGAGATACAGAGAGTGCAAGCTCGTGGCACTTCGAGGCCATGAAGGAAGTTCCAATACAGCTGAGGAGCATCATGCTACCCACAAAATACACAGATGCACTAAAATCCTCGTGTTAAAAAGCACAACATTTAGGGGGAAATGCAAAAGAACAGTTAGTTGTTTTGTAACTCAGGATGTTGAAGGTTTTCCTAAGCAAGGCACAAAACCCAGAAACCATAATGCAAAACATTGGCATGCTGCCTACTTAAAAAACTAAACCTCCATGTGATGAAGACATAAGCAGGTTTAAAAGATAAGACTGGCAGAAAGTTCTTCGAGAAACTTTAAAACTTTCTATTTAAAAGTCTACATTTTTTCCTTAATAACAGAAGCCCTGTATCATTTAGGGTGATGATGTGCTAAAGGCTCCTGGCAGGTAGTGGGGACCTTTCAATCCAACGGGGTGAGTATTGTTGCCATCATTCCCACATTACAGGGAAGGGGTAGAACTTAGAGGTGTTAAATGACATGGCCAAGACCAGATTACTAAGTACTGGTAGAGCAAATTCAGGCAGTCTGTTTTCAGCAACCTTTGTTCAATCAACACTTACACGGTGAAAGGGTTAAAGAGAATAAAACGGGGCAGAGAAAACGTATTGTGCTTGGCAGATATCTTGCAGAAAGCTTGCGGCCTTGAACACCACATAGCCTAGATAACAGCTAGACATCTGGCACAGGGAGGAGCCCAGGACGGACCGGACCCTCACGTCAGCAGAATGGCTTGCCGCCAGCAAGGACTAATAAAAACCTTCCTCTCCCTTCTGTTTCCGCCTATTCCTTTCTTGGACTCGGCCCACCTGCACCCAGGTGCCTGGCATAAAATTTCTTTTGATACATTATGGCCTCAAGTCATAGGTGCACGACCCTGGCCCACTCGGAACCTCTCACACAGGACTCACTATGTGGCAGGCACTGTTTTTGCACCTTACAAATGCTTCCTCATTTATTAATCATAACCTTGAGATGTGTCCTGTACTATCTCGTTTACACGGAGAAAATGGAGTTATAAAATAGCTCGGTCACTTATTCAGCGTCACACGGCTAGCAAATGGTAGCCGGAGTTCAAAGCCAGGCATCGGGTGCATACCCTGCTATCTCAGCCCCCAAGCTCTGTTGCCTCCGAGCTTCCTAAGGAAAGGAGACACTTACCAAGGGCTCTGAGAACCAGCCATATTCTTGGTTTTCAGTCTGTGTCTCGGGATATTTCTTCCTGGGCACCTGGGCAGTATGGTGAATAACATTCAGAAACCTGTCTGGAGGATGGGGCAGGAGTTAGGAAGTCAGTCTTTGGGAATGACACCTGGTCCTGTGCCCTTGGGGGCAGAGCACCTGGGCCCGGAGGCTTGCTAAGGCCTCATGCCAAGGGTGTCTGGTTCCTCCATTCATTTTTCAACAAATGTATGTTCAGCACAAACTGTGCCAGGCATTGTCTGGGCCCTGGAGGGAGAGCAGAGTGAGACAGACGTGGTCCCTGCTCTCCTGGAGCCCCTAGTCTGGGAGAGGGGACAGGGGACACAATGTACAGGTACACAAGCAAACGCGACAGTGGCCAGCAGTGAGGTGACTGTGAAGAAGGGGGCAGTCGAAGGGGCCCACAGAGATCCGCTGGCGAAGTCCATGGGATCTTTAGAGGATGCCTCTCTGGATGTCAAGCAGGAGCCAGCCCTGAGAGGCAGAGAAAGAGCATACCTCTGCTGGCATGAGAACAAGGGCCTGAGGCATGAGTGAGCTTGGACAATGTAGCTGTGGGCCAAAGAGTGAGAAGGAGGCTGTAAGAAGTAAAGTCAGCCCCGGCTGGTTGCTCAATGGTTAGAGCGTCAGCCCACAGACCAAAGGGGCGTGGGCTCAATTTCCAGGGTAAAGGGTACATACATCAGTTGCAGGTGCAGGAGGCAACCAACCGATGTGTCTTTCTCTCCCCCTCTTCCCTCCCTCCCACTCTCTCTAGAAATCAATGGGGGAAAATATCCTCTGACAAGGATTAATAAATAAAAAACAAACCAACAAAATTAAGGTCAAATTCTTTTGTATTGAAATAAGTCTGGCTGCCAACACCAGGTATATTTGAAGCTCCACAGCTTAAGGACTCAAAGAATTTCCATTTTTAATTCATACCTTATCAAATCTCAATTTGAGAGAGGCAGCTTGACATCAGGAAGAAACTGGGGTTTACAGTGGGACATTCTGGATCTTCTATTATTAGCTTGTCAAGGGGTTTAACGTCTCTGGGTCTCACTTTGCTCATTCTGTAAAATGGGAGTCAAATACCCACTTCAACAAGGTGACTGGGAATGGGCCGAAGGAGTGTGAATGAAGGGCCTGTGCATCCGATCGACCAAGCTCATCCTTAGCAAAAGGGAGCTAGTAGTGAACTTCTGCCTGGCTTTCAAGACCTCACTACCTGACATTTTTCTTATTGCTACCAGTCCCCAGCTCCTGTTCTTTACCTAGGCTGGTGTCTTCACTACAGGTAAGAGCCATACCTTTTAATTGTGCTCTTTTGATAGTTCACGTTACTTGTCTGTCTCCACTCTGCTGTGTGAACATTCATGCTTCCCCCACCCACACCTCCCGCCCCACCCTCCTACATGTCCTACATCCTTTCTCCATCGTGTTTTACTCTAAGAACATAGAGGGGAAGGAGAGCAGCTTTCCATAAAACATTTCTCTTCCCTCATTCCCACACATGGCCAGTGTCCACCTATGTATTGTGGCCCTGTCAAACTACTCAGAGTTCTATGGCCATGGTGGTGTGTCTCGTTTCTGTGCCTCTCCATGTACCTTGGAATGTCTTTCCTCGTCACCCTGTTACCACCTCCTTTAATAAGACTTTCCAAAACCCCACTGCCTGACTTAGGCACCTGTTTTCCATGCTGCTGCCATCCCAGGCCTAGTCTGTAATCTATTCGTCTCTTCTTCACTATGATATGAGATCTCCTCTCCAGTCGCATCACATAGTGCTATCACACAGTGACGCTTAGTAATAATGAAAGTAATTACATGAATCTACAATTACTGATCACCATGTACCAGATAAACACTTGAAGTGTTTTGTTTAATCCTCACAACAACCCTAAGAGATAAGCTCAGGGAGGCATAAAAATCTTGCTCAGGCCCCGGTCTGGTAGCTCAGTTAGTTAGTGTGGTCATGGTACACCAAGGTGTGGGGTCGACCCACCGTCAGAGAACATACAAGAATCAACCAAGGGCTGTAACTGGTTTGGCTCAGTGGATAGAGCGTCGGCTTGGGGACTGAAGGGTCCCGGGTTCGATTCCGGTCAAGGGCATGTACCTTGGTTGCGGGCACATCTCCGGTGGGGGGTGTGCAAGAGGCAGCTGATCAATGACTCTCTCTCGTCGATGTTTCTAACTCGCTATCTCTCTCCCTTCCTCTCTGTACAAAATCAATAAAATATATTTTAAAAAAAAGAATCAACCAAGGAATGCATAAATAAGTGGCACAACAAATCAATGTGTTTCTCCCTCCGTCCCTCCCTCCCTCCCTCCCTCCCTCCCTCCCTTCCTCCCTTCCTCCTTTTCTTTCTCCCTCTCTCCTTCCTTCCCTTTCTCCCTCCCTCCCTCTCTCCCTCCTTTCCTTCCCTTTCCTTCCTCCCTTCCTCTCTCTCTTCCTAAAATAAGTAAATAAAATTAAAAGAAAAATTCTTTGTCCATAGTCACACAGTTCATGAGCAGCAGAACCAGGATTTGAATTAAATATGATTCCAAAATTGGTGTTTATAACAGCTAATGTTTGATGAATGAATAAACGAAATGTTATGGTCATTAGAAACATGTCTGCTGGCTTGAAAGTGAATAAACTGGAACTGTGGTGGGATATGTCCACCTCTTATGAGCTGGGTTAGATGACTCCAGTTTTCAGATGATCTAAGCAGAGGATTGTTATTTGCTCCCAGGTGAGACCCCCCCTGAGAGGACCGTGCAGCCACCTGCCCCTCTCTGTTCTCAGTGGTATTCTCAAACCCCAGGACCTACCATCTGCAGGTTCCTCCAGGTTATCATGCCAAGACATGGGCTTTCTGGTGATTGTGTGAACTAGAGAGAAAATAGCGACACAAGTTCACGTTAAAACACTAATCCTTGCCCTCTCTAAGACCCACAGTAGGCCAGACACCCACTTAGTATTTTCTCAGTGACTGTCACATGCCAGATATGGTGCTGGACATGAGGGAATAAGGCCCTCAAGGACCTCACTTGTGGCTACTTGAATGTGAATACTTAAATACAATTAAAAATTAATTCCTAAGTCACACTTGGCACATTTCAAATGCTCAATAGCACATGTGTCTAATGACTACCATTTTGGGCAGTACATTTTCATCACTGCAGACCATTCTCTTGGACAACATTATTGTTCGGGGATGCAGACACACCCATCAGCAAACAAGCTTAACCAGAGGGAGGCCACGTGGTGACAGAGGTACAGAATCCATGGACATCTACTCAGCTGGTAGTTACTGGTGCCCTGGAGACAGGGAAGGTTTCCATTCTATTTGCGGTGATATACACAAATAAACCATTTTAGGCAAATCCAAGCAAGATGCAAAACAATAAAGCAGGTTCTGTGGATAGAGTTGATGGTGGGGTGGGGATGGAAGATACATTAAAGCAGAGCCCAGCATAAAGTGTGCTTTGGGTGAAGATATGGGAAGACTCCGACACTGGTGAGTTGAGAAACATCTATTAATAAAAGGCCAGAGTAATTCGCAAGAAGGGGGGTAGGTAGAGAGTGGGAGGAAATGACTGAGGCCAGAAGGAACCAGTGGTCTCCAAAGTGATTTTATCTCAAACTCCTAGCAAAAAACTCCTGAGCCTACAAACCTATGATTATCATTATATTAATAAAGCATAATTTCTTTTTTTCTACATAAAAGTAAACATAAATTCAAGTTCTAGTATTTTCTCACTGTACCACAATGGACCATATTTGTCATGTTTTCAAGGGGCAGAGTTAGGAGAGTAATGCTTTCCCCTGAGGGATTTAAATTGTTGGAATGGACCAAACTTAAACAAAAATGTTATCCTGAATTTAGTGGTTAGGGACTCCACTGGAAAACCAGGTTAAACTGTAAGAAAAGTGAAGACATTAGATTTTTTTGACTGTTGTAATCATTTCACTATGTATATCAAAACATCCCATAATACGCCTTAAATATATTCAATTTTAAAGTTAAAAATGACATTACATTTTTCTTTATGGGCTGCAGGGGACTAGAGTTAATTTAGTCTAGAAGTTGGGGGTAGAAGTTCAGGAAGAAGGAACCATTTTTATAAGGTAAAGAGGTTTGGGATGACTAGATGTGTTAGGAAATCCATTTATTTAGAGGATGGGAGAGAAGGGAGCATGTGGCTGGTGCAGAGCAGGCACTGAACTATTTCTCAAAGGAAGAGTGTATGGGTGGGGAGGAGAGCGAGGATGAAGTTGGTGGGCCACAGAGGCAGAGCCACAGATCAGCTCAAACCTCAGCTCAGAAGCTGTGGGGCCCCTGAGGGTTTCACAGAGGGATGACAGGAACAAATTAGCGTGTTAGCATAGCTCTGTAGCCTGCAGAGTGTAGAGGCTGGAGGAAGGGGAGCTTGGAAGAAAAGAGTAGTTAGGAGCCCATCAGATCAGGCCAGGCAGAAGTGAGGAGGCTCTTTGAGCATGGGGAGAGAGAGGCGGACACAGGCACTATTTTGAGGCCTGGGGATGAGCATGGGGAGAGAGGGCAGAATTAAGTGAGGAGAGGTGCGATGTCTCCATGTGCACGGTGGTGTGTTTCACTGAGGAAGGAACACAGGAGGGGAGGGTGATAGAAACGTTAATAACCGGGACTGTAAGAACTGAGATGTGGAGTCTAAGGCAATTTAGAAACCTGGAAAACAAACAAACAAACCCTCAAACGTCTGCTTTGTTAAAAAAAACAAACCAAAATTACAGGCAAAACAAAATACATAAAATCCTGCCAAACAATATTTCAAACACAAAATTACAAAGAGCCTTTCAACTTTTTTACAACAAAAAATATTTCATCATGCCTATTTAAACAAAAACATATCTAATACATCTGATGTGATGTGGGGGGAGACACCCCCGACTCCTCTTTTCCCCACACACACCCCTTTTTCCCCTTCCTCAACCCCGCCGCACCCCTCACCCTTGCGCAGGGGGTTCACGTGATACTGCGTGTAGAGTTTCTGGCTTCGCAACTCTTTGATGTACAATTCCTGCAAGATCTCGTTGTGACGCACCTCATCCAGCATCACCTTTTCCTTGTGGTGTCCGGCCATGGCCCTGGCCCGGCTGGGTCTGCCCCGGCTTCCCCTCACCGCCCCCGACGCTCGCGCAGTGCCGGGCCCCCACCCGCCGCGCCCTCGGGCTCTTAGGCCCAGGCTGTCTCCAAGGCAACAGCGTCCTGGACTCGCTGCCCCGTAGACCTCACTCCAGCCCGCCGGCCCCGCCCCCTTCCCTAAGCCCCGCCTCCTTCCCCAAGCCCCGCCCCCTCGGGGCGCCGGACTCACCTTCCGCCACTTCTCTGGACGTAGCCTGGCGACGGGCACCGCCCCTGGATGCGACCGGAAAAGGACCTTCCCCGACGCGGCCGAGCGGGGCGGCCATGGACGTAGGATTACGACTCACCTGGGCCCGTCGTTGACTGCGGCAGGTTTTGGAAGGGGTCGCGCGGAACCCTCTCTCGCGTCCGGGCGTCCCGCCGCCGCCGCCGCCGCCGCCCCGAGCGGCTGCGAGGTCCCGGCGGCCGCTCCCTCTGGGCCGGGCCGCAGGATGGCCGCCGCGCGGCACCGCACCCTGGACTTCCTGCTGGGCGGCCCGGCCCGCGGCGAGGCCGTCCTCGCGGCCCTGCGGCCCGTGTTCCAGGAGCGGGGCATGGCCGAGTCGCTGCACATCTGGCCGGACCACGGTTGCTTAGCGACCTACGTCAGCGCCCACGGCAGCTTCGCCAACGTGAGGATTTATCCGCACGGGCTGGTGTCGCTGGACCTGCAGAGTTATGAGGGCGAGGGCGAGGGCGATGCGCAGGCCCAGGAAGGGGACGACAGCCTTCTGGACCAGGTAGAAGCGAGAATGAAAGACCTGAACCGGGACGGCCCCGGCAAAGTGAAGCGGCTGCCACCCCTGGTCCGGGGAGGGGCCGTGGACCGGTACTGGCCCACGGCGGACGGCCGCCTGGTGGAGTACGACATCGACGCGGTGGTGTACGATGAGGACTCGCCTTATCAGAACATCAAAATCCTGCACTCGAAGCAGTATGGGAATATCCTCATCCTGAGCGGGGACGTCAACCTGGCCGAGAGCGACTGGGTCTACACCCACGCCATCATGGGCAGCGGCAAAGAGGATTACGCCGGCAAGGACGTGCTGATCCTGGGAGGCGGAGACGGGGGCATCTTGTGTGAGATCGTCAAACTGAAACCAAAGATGGCCACGATGGTAGAGATCGACCAGATGGTGATCGACGGGTGTAGGAAATACATGCGGAAAACGTGCGGCGACGTCTTGGACAGCCTCACGGGAGACTGCTACCAGGTTCTCGTCGAAGACTGCATCCCGGTGCTGAAGAGGTACGCCGAAGAAGGCCGAGCGTTTGATTACGTGATTAATGACCTGACCGCCGTCCCAATCTCCACATCTCCCGAGCAAGAGTCCACGTGGGAGTTCCTCAGGCTGATTCTGGACCTCTCGATGAGAGTACTGAAGCAGGATGGGAAGTATTTTACGCAGGGAAACTGTGTCAATTTGACGGAAGCCCTGTCACTCTACGAACAACAGCTTGGATGCCTCTACTGCCCTGTGGAGTTCTCCAAGGAAGTGGTCTGTGTCCCGTCATACTTGGAGCTGTGGGTGTTTTACACTGTTTGGAAGAAAGCTCAACCTTGAAGAGCGACATGCCCTTATCCCGTATGTTGCAAATAGCCTTCCTGACCTTCATGGGCTGCACATGCCATGGAATGGAGTCAGGCAATTGCTGGTGATTTTCTAAAAGGTTTTTTTTTATTGTTGTTGTTTTGTTTTGTTTTGTTTTTGTTTGTTTTTTTGCCTAATTATTACTTTTAATTTAAAAAAGCAAATGGAAAAAGTATATTTTTATGAGCTAGGATGCTTTTGTGTGTGAAAGCCAGCTGAAGACAAGGAGACAGTTTGAAGAAGGCTGCTCAATGAACCCCTAGAATATGACTTTGTTACTTTTTAAAAATGCATGGGCTTTTCTTGTGTTTTTTGTTTTATTTTGTTTGTTTGGAGGAATGAACATCATTGTTTTGTTCTGGAGGAAAGTCTCTATGATGTTTCCAAAAAAGTTAACTTAAAACATTAAACTTTGGTGATTATGCCCAGCTGGTGTGGCTCAATGGCTATCATCCTATGAATAGGGAGTAACTGTTCAATTCCTGGTCAGGGCACGTGCCAGATTTGCAGTTTTAATCCCCAGTGGGGTGTGTGGAGGAGGCAGCCAATCAGTGAGTCTCTCATCCTTGATGTTTCTATCTTTCTTTCCCTCTCTAAAATCAATTATACTTATAAGAAATAGTTAAAAAGGAATGAATTAGCAATGCATTGATTAAAATTGCAAGTGAGAAAAAAATATGAAACAAAGAAACCTATCTCACTTTAAAGCTGATGCCCAGAATCCAACCCTCTATACCTATCTCAGAAAACAGCATGGGCCTCATATCTAAGAAGACATTCTGGCCCAGATCATCATGTGATAATATAGACAGAATAACCCTTTCCTAACGTAAGTAACTGGGGACTTCATAGTTTATTTCTAATTGTGGTAAAATATACATAAAAGATTACCATCTGAGCCATTCTCAAGTGCACAGTTGAGTAGTGTTAAGTATATGCACATTGTGTGAGAACGTCTCCAGAACTTTTTCATACCAATTCCCCATTTTCCGTACCCCCAGCTTCTGGCAACTATCACTTTCTCTTTTAGGAATATGACTACTCTTAGATACCTTATAGAATATAGTTTATTTTAAAAGAACAAAAAACAGGCCTCGCATAAAGAAAGGAGCCACCGTTGGTTTTAAAAGTAAGCATCTCAACACTGACTCTCCCCCAGTCCTTCATTCTTTCTTGCACCCATTCATTCATGACACCGTGTGCTCCAGGAAGTGTTTAGGTCTGGGAGACATGGTGTTGAACATGACAGGGGTGTGAGTCATAGCTCCTCTTTCACTTTTACTTTTCCCCTATAAATTATGGTCAGCTTATGAAGTTATCCAAAACTCTATCTTAGAATTTTGATTGAAATTGCATGGAAGCTATATATCAGTTTGAGGAGAGTACTTTAAAAAATACATACCAGGTATTCTTCTGATGCTGTCATCTGGGCAGGGTCCGTACATGTCCTTTCCTTGTGGATTCTGCTACCTGCCGCTATCCGGAGTGCAGGCAGCAGACTGAGAGAGGCGCCACCTTCAGGGCTGTGCAGAAAACAATGCAAGGTTCCCTTTATCACATTTTTCAAGAGCAGGACTTTATAGAATTTCAAGGTTCAAGAATTTTAAGATTAAATAATAATAATAATAAAAAAAGGCATTTTAGAGAAACCAGCCTAAAAGAACCTTGAGTCCTTCTATATGGATGAAAGGGACTTTTGTGGCCTGTGTGTGAGTTCTCAGGGGCCACCCACTCTTGCATCCAGTTTAATTTGGGGGTAAATCTATTGTACTTACTCTTTTAGAGATCAGATTAGATGCTTTCCGCTCTTCACTGTTACTGCCGTTTTCTCTGTGGTCACAGACGGAGTTCCATGGAGAAGCTAATGGCAAAGGTAGAGGCCTCTGCAGGCTGAGTGATCAGGCAAACGAGGAAAGAAACAGACTCTAGCCGAAACTGGTTTGGCTCAGTGGATAGAGCATCAGCCTGTGGACTGAAAGGTCCCGGGTTCGATTCCAGTCAAGGGCATGTACTTTGGTTGCGGGCACATCCCCAGTAGGGGGTGTGCAGGAGGCAGCTGTTCGATGAGTCTCTCTCATTGTTGTTTCTAGCTCTCTATCCCTCTCTCTTCCTCTCTGTAAAAGGTCAATAAAATATATTTTAAAAAAAGAAAGAAAGAAAGAAACAGACTCTATGGAAATGTTAAAGGTGTCTTGGACATCTGGAGATGATTGATAGGATGAGGATGAGGACACAATACAACCAAGATTAAAGATTGGTCATGGCTGAAAACGGGGCTTCCTGTAAGTAATTGAGCTTACCGTCTAAGCTGAATGTTGATAGGCCATCTTCTCCAATGCCTCATGTCTGCCAGGTCAGGCTAATGTAATCCACTGTCCTAGAAATTCTGGACTGCACCAGAACTGTCCACGGGTAGGGGAAGGATCTCTCTAGGGTTATATTTATGAATTAGGAGGTCTGGATGGGGAGTGAGCTGGAGTGTTGGCGAGGAGCAGAGACCAACATATTAGGAAGAGGGGCTATTTGGGAGGAGAAAGGGCAAAGATAGAGGAATAAGTAAGGAGATCACTGCGAACAGAGTGGAAAGAGGGTAGTCTGGAAGGCACATAAGAACTGGGTAGGTAGATAACATGGATGAGGTAGTGGAAAGAGTTCCCACCATCCAGAGGAGGGAGAGTGGTAGGGCAGAAAATACAAAGAGGTGAGTGCCACATGGGAGGAGAGCCAGGCGAATTTGGATCCAGTTTAGAAAGGTTGCTTAGAAGATGAATTTTTTTAGGAACATAAGGAGGCCGGAGTTGAGATGAAGAAATTTGAGGTAGCTTGCGTCTCATTTTCCCAAAATAGTACTCATCTTGTCAAAAGGAGGGACTGCATATAAGCTCTGACCTCGGCCTGCAGTTAGCTCACCTACTAGCCCTCACCTCATCTGGCGGCAGAATGCCCATTATGACACGCACACAGCTCTTCATTGGGCAAATCAGGAGGCCCCATGAAATCAGAGAGATGGTCCCCGTTTCTGGTGATCAGGGAAAATAACAACGGGAATGGGACTATAATAGTTGTTCACATTCCCTGGGAAAACGTGTACCTATGCCCCTCAGTTGGCAAAGATTGATCAAAGGGGTAAGATAGAGTGAGGGCATTGGGACCCAGGAGAATGGATCTGAGGCAGGATTGGACAAAGTGGGGAGAACTCAATATTCCATTTACTTACTACATTTTCCTAAGGCCTTTCCTATAATTTATATCACTCTATGAATATGAGGCATCAGAGAAGAGATAATCTATAATGATAAAAGTATAATATGCTAATTAGACTTGACAGCTGAACGTCCTTCCAGACAAAGCCGCAGTGGCTGCGAGGGCCGAGGGCCAAAGGCAGGCAGCTGTGGTGGCTGCAAAAGCCGAGGACAGGCAGCTGCTGTGGCCAGCAGCGGCAGCCGGCAGCCGAGGCAGGGTGATAGGGGCAGCACCTTCCCCTGATCAGCCCAGTTGCCTCCTGCAGAGGCTTAGCAGATGTGGCTTAGCCATCTCAGCGGAACATCTCCTGAGGGCTCCTGGACTGTGAGAGGGGGCAGGCCGGACTGAGGGACCCCCAACTCCCCAGTGCATGAATTTTCATGCACTGAGCCTCTAGTATGTCCATAATATGACTGATGAGGAAATTGAAGCCAGAGAGGGAAGTGTATAGCAAGGCAGCAGACCAGAACTTGGGCCAAAAATCTAACAGTAGGGGACATGTAGGAAGAGGCAGAAAATGGCTCAGAGCACTGAGAAGTAGCATGACCTTCCATTTTTGGACAGGATGTTATAAGGGTGCTTCAGAACAGAATTTTACAGTGTACTTTTGGTTTAGTGTCTGTGGTTCCTAGATTGATTTGTTGCCTGACCCTAATGGTATTAGAAACATAGGGCCAAGGCCCATAGGATGGCTGCCCATTTCTGATGCCTAGTGGCAGTTTTTGGCTTTCTTATTCACTACTCAACATGCCTACTTTATGTCAGATGATTTATGGGCTATTGCACCCTCCCTCTCTATTTTGTCTGTGGGAATTCTCTCCCCTGAAAACTCCTGATTCCTTTGAGCATCACCCAAATCATAAACCCCTTGGGCTCCCTATTCTTTTCTGTGTACTCTTTTTAAAAAAAATATATTTTATTGATTTTTCACAGAGAGGAAGGGAGAGGGATAGATAGCTAGAAACATCGATGAGAAAGAATCATTGACCAGCTGCCTCCTGCACACCCCCCTACTGGAGATGTGCCCGCAACCACTATACATACCCTTGATCGGAATCGAACCTAGGACCCTTCAATCCCCAGACCAACGCTCTATCCATTGAGCCAAACCAGTTCTGGCTCCGTATACTTTCTTTTTTTTTCCAGAGCAAATAAAACTATTTCCATTTTATTTTCAAAGTCTTATTTTAATCCAGACTGAACAAGCAAGCAGAAAAGTAAGAAAGCTAACTGTAGGCATACCAAATGTAAAGGCTTTTACAAGCCATCCTTTTGTACATGCATTTTATTTTTAGGGGAAGAAGATTTTGACATTACGTAAAAAAAAGAACTGAGATGGTACCACATTATAGTAAAAGTATTAGAAATACGATCCTCAAGATGTATCAATTATAAACTAGATGAAAATTTGAGTGACAAAGATCTAGCAAAATTCTTTAGTGAAAAAGTCAAATGCAATTCATGCTACCAAATAAAAATAAGAAAGCCATATAAATAGAGCAGAATAATGTCCTAGGCTTTTGGGTAATAAGGTTAGTGAAATTGAACAATTTCGAATTGCAATAAATCCTCAGTAAAGAGTCTTGGTCGTTTAGTTGAGAGTTCCAACTTTTTCTTTTCTTTTTAGAAAAATATTTTTATTGATTTCAGAGAGGGAGAAGGAGAGAGAGAGACATCAGTGATGAGAGAGAATCATTGATTGGCTGCCTCCTGCATGCCCCACACTGGGG